TAGACGAAAAGTTTGTAGTAGCGACAATAAACTCTTTTCATGAAGCGTAGGCTGCTGGAACAGTAGGCTGCTGGAACAGTAGGCTTAAAGATTCAAGGTCGCTCAACCGGAACGAAAACGTTCTAGAATGTTCTAGAAGGAATGTTAGGAAACAGTCATCAAGTAATGGTTGCTATAGCAACCAAAACGGTCAAAACCGAACAAAGCTCGACCGGAACGAGAGAAAACAGTTTCCACGACTGCAAAAACAGCTGAACACAACAGTTCAACAGAAACAAATCACTCTTTCGTCAAATCAACCCAGCAAACAGTCAGTCTTAAATAATTGCAAAATAAAAAAACGACCAGTACCGAAAAAAATAGAAAAAACAGACTCAAGAATCGAGATGTCAGAAAATGCAAACAGAACATACGACTGGTGGTCCAGCTCACCACAAGATTGGCGGAATGAGGAGCGTGAAGAAAGCCTAATGGACCCAAAGTGGAACCGATCATTTTCCACCAATAACGAACTCTCGGGAGAGGAGGAGATCACAGAGACAGTACAACGTACGAGAAAAATTATACGAGGAGGCAGAAAAAATAGGGACAGCTCAGACAGCGAAACACTTCAAGCACAACGAGTAAAATGGTCGCTGGAACCGGAACAACAACGAATAGCGGACCAAAGACTGCTCTCATTCTGGCAGCTAATAGGTGGAGAAAACAATGTTCAGGAAAATCGAGAACTGGTGGCCGATACTCAAGAAGTCAGGGACAATTTGGAAGACGAATCAAGTCCAACATCGTCAAAACCGATCGCATCGACAGAACGAAAACTCAGTGAGGTGAATGTAATAGAAGTCGACCTTACAACCACAGAAGAGGCGGAGAGTGAGGAGGAAGTGTGCTCAATTCAACCGCCAAAGGGTCTAGGAAAATCAAGACTGCAAAAGCAGCAACAAGTAGAGACTCTGGACAACCTCGCAAAACTGTTCGACAAAAACTTACTAGCAGAACTGACCACAGAAGACACGTGGATGGACCGCCTCAGGAGAGTGGTAGAGAGAGGGGACAAACAAGGATTCGAATTGATGGGACCCTATACAAATCCGTTGTGGTCGCAGATGGCAGTTCAGGACGACTGCATCTTGGTGAATAATCGGATAGCGGTACCAGTTCAACTACGACAAGCTGTCCTCAAACGAATACATCGGGGACACCCAGGACAGGAAGCGATGTTGGGAGCAGCGCAATATCTGTGGTGGCCACACATGAAAAAGGACATCGTGAATTTGGCAGAGGAGTGCCGTAGTTGTACCAGATATGGTAAGAATGTTAAATACCTTATTTCGAAAAATTCGTCAAAACCACTACCACTGCTCACGCAGCCGGGACAGGAGGTACAACTAGACTACGCGGGGCCTATAGAAAATCAGAAAGGAAAAAAAAATCTATCTTTTAGTAGCTATTGATCGATTCTCAAAATTTCCATCAGTGAAGGTTACAAAATCCACAAGTGGAAAGAGCACAGTAAAATTCTTGAGATCATATATCGACACACATGGAGTCCCTGAATCAATTCGCTCGGATCAATTTTCAGGCTTTAAGGGAAAAACTCTAAAAAAAATTTGTTCGGAACTTAATATCGAACAAAAATTCTGTCCGGTGGGGGATCACAGAGGTTGTGGGTTGGTTGAACGTACAATTCAAACAATAAAAAGAAGACTGGGAGTGATGATGCTCGATGAAAATAATAAATCAATCAAATTATGTCTCAGTATTATAATGCGAGATTTACGATGGAACAAGCAGAAAACAATTCAAGTATCCCCGTTCCAAGCACATTTCGGCAGACTACCAAAAACAGAATTTAAAATTGTGAGGGATAGGTTTTTAAATAATTCTGATTCTTTAGACAAACAACACTTGGAACGCTCAGCACTGACTGCGTCTCAAATGAAACGGAGGATTGATCAGTCGAGAGAGAATCTCAAGATAGTGCGCAAGGGACAACTGAGCAGGGATACAAGCCCACTGCACAAGCAGCAAATAACATCGGACAGAGATAAAGAAAGAGCCAAAGCCCTAAAGGAATTGTTGGAGGCAAACGCCCGATGGAACTACGAAAGAAGGGATGCAGCTAAAAATGACATCAGGAAATTAGTGGACGAGACAGGTCAACTCAATCCCGATCTTCGAAAAGAAATGATTTACTCTTGGGAAAAAGGATTTGTGGAAGATAAAGTAGAAAACCAATGCAAGTCACCACCCAAGACAATACTTAGAAAGGACCCTCTAAGGAAAAGCGGCAAGCCCTAACCAGACCACTAAAGGGGAAAATAGCTTCAGAAACGGAATCAACAATTAAAACATCGGCCGGTTCGATCTATAGAAAATCGGACATAGCTCAATCAAAAACCGTACTTACACAAGAAAAACAGAGAAGCACAAGTAAAAGTCCATCGTCTGAACCTACAAAAAAGTTCAAGCGAGTCAGTTCTCCAGAACTACTAGAGGAGCTGGAATCGGAGGATGAACTCCAAGGAGAAATGGAAATTGCAAATGAAATGAACCCAACAGAGCGCTTTCAGAAGAGCCAAACAATAGTCACTTCTAAGGACACAGAAGCCGGGGGAGGACTGAATCTTGCAATAAAAAGAGCAAAACCAAACCTGGCGGGACCAAAATCAGCAGAGGAAACAAACACGAACAAGCCGGAAAAGAGCGGAAAAGAGAAGAAAAGCCGAAGCAAGCAACAACAGGGGACCAACGCAAACCAAACTGCGACTGCAGTCAACTCGGAACAAGAGCAAGCAATATCTAAGCCGGATTCGGTCACAGCAGATACCAAAATCCAGTCGAGCTCTACGCCGAAAACCAAACAGCGTCCGAAACTGAAGGGCATTGACGCGCACACCCCTTTGGAAGATATAGTGGAGACGTTTCACAATAGAAATTTGGCACCGTCTGACTGGGAGAAGTACGCGGACCAACTGTTAAAAAGAGGGGTGCAGCGAGTTGCGGATGAACTTAGAGAAAATCCTCAAAAAGGCTCAGAATTGGATACAAACTTCGAACCACCACAAGGATTCTCGGACGAATCAAGTGCGGAAGAGTCAGGTGTTCGACGAAGTTCTAGACAAACAAAGAACAAAGAACCCAAACGATTCGGAGATCCGATAAAACATTCAATCAAAGAAATATCCGAAAATCTTACAGGAAGAGGTCTTTTAAAGGAGGCACTTAAAGAATACTGAAACCAACTGAGAGATTTCAAAGATCGGGACGACAGACCTTTGGAGTCAAAAGTGCGACGACTCGAAAGACATTTATTTATGCGAAAATTCGGATATGCTACTTTAGATGAAGGATTAGATTGGAACCCGAGTTGGGAAATTGAGCTGGAGGAAAACTGAAATTTACATAATCCATCTAAAAGACTTTCTTCCGAACTGAGTAAATTGAACTCCTTTAAATAAATTATCCTACTGATGTTGTATAATTTATTTCTTTCACCGAGGGGGGTGTGTCATACCGCTACTGCAGTAGCAGTATTTATTATACGTATGTACAGCCAACCTCTGGTGTTAAATCATTATTTTATGGTACGCTCAAGGTCATACATAAGTGATGACACTGAGACTAAGTGAGAGATCAGAGTACTTAACAATGATCTATCTCTCAGTACATAAAAAAAACAAAGAAAAGAGAAAATCTAAATTCAATCTTCAGAATACAGTATTGAATTCCAACTTGTTTTCAATTTGATATCGCAACGCATATCACAAGGGGCATAAACATGATTTTTCGTTCTAATTGAGTTGTTTTTCTTTTCAATGACAAGTTGCTCTCTATTTCTGAAAAATTGCCATTAAACATTTCTAAAACACTTTAAAATAACTTATCATCTATGGAATTTAAATGGTAAGCTTTTTTTCATAAAAAAACCTTAATTTTTTCTATCACCAGTCTGTTTAATTGTGTACAAGTATCCGCAGAAGACATTTATTTTTTTTTCACTCAATTTTTTTCCCAAAAATATATGAAAACCGTATGATAAAACATTTTCTCCCGACACTTGATCCATGAAATTGTATGATGAAACATGTTGATGTATGGAGTTCATCCCGGTTAAGTTAGATTTAGAACGAATCAAACTGAAAATTTAGAACTGAAAATAAAGCTTGGCCGTATTGAATCGTACAACAACAATGAACTTGACATGGTATAATCTCAGATTTATGACGACTCAGGTAGTACTGAAAATGAATTTATGACCGCATAACAAAAAACCAGACCGCATTAAAAAAATCAAACCGCACAACAAAAAACCAGACCGCATTTAATGTTTACTACTTCCACTCCCCTAATGCTTGCGAAGGATGTGCTAAAATTGACTACTGAGAGCTTCTATTATCCTCTCATTGTAATAATGGCTTGAATATGTATCTAAAACCATCATTTATTTTTTTTCTCCACGAGATTGTTTTTTACTGTGCTGACCAAGAAAAATATTAGATTCAAAAAACACCTGTAACTTAAGGCTTTAAAACAAACTTCTACTGGAATTACGACAAGCTTTTTATCGTTATTCACTCAATATGCTTTCTGACCACTTCAGTTTAGTCTTGGTTCAAATATCATGAGGTCATTGATTAGTTATTTTGCTAAATAGTTTGTTGAAACAATCGTAATGAAGAAAGTTTGCCGAAAAAACAAACTGATTTTTGCAGTGTTATTTGTTATTTTAATTCAAATTTTTAATAGCATGAAAATTGTTCAGAAAGATTTGAATTCTTTTCATGCTGAGCCTACAGATAAATACCTTAAAAACTATACTAAAAAACTCTCGAGAATAAATTTAGATGAAGATGTTACAAAAATTCAAAAAACTTTCCTATCTCACAAGAAAATAAAAAATTCAATTTTATTGAGCTTAGTTTTTGAAAAACTTTTATTTTCAGGATGCGTTTATCGTAAGAATATCGAAAACAAATCAAATAAAGATTCAGAACCAACTTTGCAATTAGAAACAATCGATTGCTTTTTATTTTGTCTTGGGCGAAATTTCGCTTTTACTGTTGTTGCGTTGAAGCGTCATGAGTGTTTCTGTGCAAACAAATTGTCAGCAAACGAACATTGTAACGTGGAATCGAAACCCGGTGGTATGTTCGCGGCATACAAGATGATAGCGAGAGAGATGCCGACAATAAAGGTACCCACCTGCTTGTAAAGTTCAAAAACTGAATACTCCGACTTACCTTTCCCTGGTCGAGGTTGTAGTTTTATGACAATCGTGACCAAAATCTGGTTTTTCCAGACTGCCGCGATCGATTATAATCGAGCAAAGGACTTCTCTTTAATAATTATTTCTCCGACTTTCGAAGAAAGTGTGGATTATTTATGATTGGTGTGATTTTTTTTTCAGTCAATTTTCGACTAGATAACTAAGCGTTTTTGACAGAATTTTTATACGATCTGAGGGATATTGTTATCCTAAGCTCAAATTTAAAAAGATAATTCATCTGTGATTTTTTTTGTAAAGTTACAGGCGTTGGAAACTTGCCAATTTGGCCGATTTGGGAAAATTAAAGGACAAAATATTGCGTACTTATACCACGCGTAATAAGCGATTTATTCAGTTCCAAATTGAATTGAGACCAGCAATTTAATCATGTTATCGCAATTTGAGACGCTAAATACGCAGTTAATTTTTTAGATAGCGTGTGATGGGATAAAATGAAGAAACAATGAAAAAATATATAAAATAGTGCAATCGGAACATTCAGGGCTTTGCCTTGATATACGAGCACTCTTGTAATCTATTAAAATCGTTTATAAGAGATTAAAATGTCTTGGACAAAATCACGCTTTTATTCGATAATAAATTCTTTAGACACCTTATTTTAAAGTAATTATAATCAGCTATAAACGTCAAAAAATCAGCGTGACTATCCGTTTTAATCCATTTTTTTCCGACTTTCGAAAAAAAACGGAACACTTATGCTGGGTGTTTTTTTTTAGTTCAGTCAATTTTCGACGATCGAAATAATAGTTTTTAACAGAATTTTTTTATGCCCCATTGAAGATATTGACTCCCTGAAATCAAATTTAAAAAGATATTTTTCCTCTGTTTCTTTTTTGCCAATTTTGTGACTTTGAGAAATGCCAATTTGGGCCGGCTCTGGACTAATTTGTGAGCAATTTGAAGACTTATACATGATCCTGAAAGCGTAACGCGAAATTTCTATGCGGAAAAATTAGCCTGCACAACAAAATCGTTTCAAATTTAACTGAGGCTAGCTAATTCGTTATTTTAATTTTGTAAGACTCAAATTTTCACGCTTGATTTTCGATTTTGTCCAAGTTTTTTTATTTTTTCGAAAGTTTCTTTTTGATATGGATTAAGGGGTTGTCGGAACATTCAAAGGTTCGCCCTGATATACGAGCAGTCTTGTTTTATAGTTAAAGTTTAATGGCTTTGAATCATACATCAATAGCGTTCAGATGACATTAAAAAACGTCAAAACGGTCCATTAAAAACTACCATGAGCTCGAACTTTCCGTCATATTTTTGAGGGTCTGATCAAATGTTGAAGGATGGCCAACCTCGAAACATCCCTTCCTGAGTAACTGAGACCTGAGTTTTTGTGGATGATAAATAGTTGAACTCTCCAGTTGAACACAGATAAATAGAACACAGATAAATAGTTGAACACTCGACTCCAATAGTTGAACACTCGATAGTAAAAAAAATGAAAACCCGAGTAGCTTCCTCCCAAGTATGTGTTTTAAATTATGCTGGTGATTGTATTTCAGAACAAGAGCTACCTTGGTTGCTTTTACAACAGTCGACCAGCAAATCAACCCAATCTTCAAAACGAGTTGTTTTCGGTAGAGCTAAGTGCAAGCGAATGCATAAATGCTTGCAACACGATCCAACACTCTGTGGCTGTTTTGAACAAGGGCCTACAAACCTGCACTTGTTACAAATCATTATCAGCGAGCCTAAAATTAGTTCGAAACGAAATACAAGCGGAAAATTGCAGCGATTTGGCTTTCGTCACTGACTTTGCAACTTCCTTCTGCAAGTTTTCGTCTTTTATCAACCCTTTCAAAGAGATAGTTCCGAGAGTTGGGTTGATTTCGGTTCCGGGATCCGGGAACACATGGACAAGGTATATGAAGCAATAGAGTGCAGTTTCATGCTCAACTGGCTAAGATGGCGGCTTGAACCAGAGTCTCACGAAATTTTGTCGAGCTTTTTTGGCCGACCATACTGAACAACCCCAAAACGTTATAAACATCATTATGAAAACCCCACGAAAACCATTTGTCAAAAATTTCTGCGCCGCTCGCAACATTTTGAAAAAAGGTTAAAAATTGACCATTTTTGAGCGCTTTTTGAGCACCTTATTTTGTTAGATATAGTGACAAAAAAATACGATTTTTGGAGCAACTCTGCCCTCAAAACTATTTTTCGTGGCATCAATAGTGCCTTAAGATAGATTTTTGTGTTTATCAGGCAGAAATGTCTGTCGCAAAAAAATATGGCAAAAAAATTAGATGTTGACAAAAAATGCGAATTTCGGAACAGATTCTACCCTGAAATTGGTTGGCAAAAATTTGGAACCGGAGTTGAGGAAGAGCTTTTTTGTCGGCGCATACCATAAATTTTCATATTAGGACTGAACCTTGAATTATCTTGACCTATCTTGAGAAGATGAAAGTTTTGGTAAGAACTCGAGAAACAAAGAACGCTAGTCAAGACTTAATTCATCTTGTTAAATAAATAATAAGTAAGTTGCACATAATATCATGACAAAAAATTGTGCCTACTTAAATATTTCATAAGTTGACTAGAGAGTGATTGAATGAGCTTGCTTAGAATTAGACCGAGGATTGACAGGTCGATAGCGACCTTGAGAACCAACAGTAGATTAACGGCCTAGAATATAAGGACGTCACAATGCAACACGTTTAAACAGCACCGCACCACATTTACCCCTCTAGGGAAAAGTCAAATAGTACATTTGAATTTTTAACAACCAACAATAATGATAATCTAGCCGGCATATACTGAAAGAACTCAACGATAAAGCAAGTATAGCACTGTGGAATTTTAATAAACGTTTTGATTGATGAGTTTAAATGACAAGAGTTTATTTTTCGATACGCCTCAACGGGTTATCCGACGAATTGATAAATGAGAATCGATTAAACTTCCTACTAAACCCTTCGGCCGCTTTGGGAGAACGAACCCTTGAGTGTTCCGCTTGAAAATCTTTTTCTTGATTGTTCTGGGCCAAACTGACCTTTCTGTATGGAGAAGCTGGGACTGAGCTAGACGGAATGGGAGAGTTAACTAAACTAAACTAACCAAACGGAATGTCGAATCGGGCTGCCACAAAAAGAAGTTTGTTTCTTACGACGAGAGGAAGTACGTGATGAATTGGATGCTGAGGAGATATTTCCATCTAGATCCGAAGTAAATCCTGACGCATCATGGTTGGAAGGGCCAGAGGTTGCCAAATTTGATTTAGAAAACTCCTGCAATTTCGGAATAGACGACTCATCATCAGATGAAATTGGTATCAAGTCCGGGCATGAAATAATCACATCTTTAGTAGGAGAATGTGTTTTCGAATTTATGCTAATAGGTACTTCCGAAGGTAGATTTCCCGACGTAGATGATGAGGCCGTAAGGTCCACCACCGAATTAGCATCCTGAGGAATAGGAATAGACTGGATACCTGGGGCATCCGAGACCAACTTGTTCCCTGATTTAGGCAACGAAGATTTGGGCCGCACCGGCGTGGAGGATGACATAACAGAAGGAAGTTGAGGGCGAGCAGGTACAGAAACTGTTTTGGCAGTGATCCGAGACCTCGGGTTAGACGGCTTTAGGGGACGATTGTCTTCCGGCGACGTTGATGACGACGTTGAGGTTGACACAATGGGGCAGTTTTGCCCCTTTTTGACAGGCGTTGCTTGTTTGCCTGAAAAACTTAGCCCGTTGATTTAAGGCGCAACGCCAGATGATTTCTCCTTATCACTTTACCTTTGTCCTTATTATACGTAGATCCGGTAATACTAACAATTTTACTCAATCAACTTTACTCGGCTCATTCAAAACTAAATAATCCAAGATACGTTTTGGCTGAGACGGCCAAATTTGTTCATATGGCATCTGATTCCTGAACCGGAGAGTTCCCGCGGACAAGTTTGATCTTAGTGTAGCCGTCAGTACTTGATTTCGCTCTGTTAAGATACTAAGGGCTTTGACTCCTTCTTGATGCGAAAGAGTTTTCTTCAGGGTCAACCACTGATTTGCAAACTTGGCCAAACTCTCCAATGCACGATAATGAGGAGTTTCCGCAATTGACTCTGTCGTCCCCCCAAAATTTGGTGACACTGATGGGCTAGACTGCCTTTTCTTGACGAGCTTGATTCGAGGTCGGCTGTCACACTGCTCCCGACGCTGTTCAGTAGTTAGTAGGTCACATTCGAATTGTTGATTATGTAAATTAGCACGCGTGGATAAACGTTCTGCCGCAAGAGATAACTCCGTGTTCGGAGGACGACCAAAATGTAGTTCAAAAGGTGAGGCTCCACTCACAGAATTTTTAGTCACCAGAATATCCTCAACAATATGCTTAAGCGTTTCTTGTATATATTAGAGAAATCTGGGCTCAAACGAGAAGCCCCTATACGACGCTTAAGGGTTTGGATGGAACGTTCTACCAGGCCACAACCACGATGGTCAACGACCGGGCAAAAATAGTGAACAATATTTTTATCCTTAAAAAAGGTCTGAACTAGTTTGTTCTTAAAGCCGGAATACTGGTCCGTTTTGATTGACTTTGGGATACTATGCTGATGAATATAAGATTTTAGAAACTTAATTATCTTACTACCCTCGTAGAACGTGTAATCATAGCTGACGGATATTTATAATACCGGTCAATCGCGACCAAGATATAAATACTATTACCATCCAAATCGAGGAGAGGACCCGCATAGTCGAGCTGGAGTTCCTCATTAGGACCAGATAAAAGAGGTAATGGTTTGGTCGAAATAAACGAAGTGTTAGTTTTGAGAATCTTACCATATTTCGTGCATTGAGGACAATCTTTGCACAGTTGGACAATATCACGATGCATACGAGGCCACCAAATATATTGTACTGCATCCACCACGGCAAGCTGACCCGCATGCGACCTGTGAAGGCGGGCAAGAAGAGGTTTTCGTAGACAACTTGGGATGGCAATCCGGTTATCCACTACAACACAGCCATCAACTACAGCTGCACACTGCCAAAAGGATTTCAAGTAAGCGTCTATAACGACAGAAACCTTCATAGTCTCGATTAATAAGGGACCGTTTCATCAATCGAAGACTAGGGTCTTCACCAGTGAGTTCCGATAGCACGTCGGAATCCAGAATACCCACCAAGCCCGATAACAACTTTTGATCCGGGGCAACAAATGAAAACTTAAGAATCTCCAGACTGTGAACTGGTTGCGCAGCGCGACCCACTGGTCCAATCTTCTGTAGCCTCCTCGAACGCTAGTTTGCCAAAATCCGGGCATACTGGCCCTTCAATGCCATCGCACGCTGCGATGAAGTTGGACGTTTTGGGCGAACTGCCCCCGCTCGAAACCGCGGCCGGGCACGATCAGAGGAGAACCATTGTTGGTTCACAGGAATAAACTGATTAAGCAATTGCTCGAAACTATCATTGGCATTAGTATCCATCACAACAGTCTGAAAAAGAAAGTAACCGAATAAGACGCAGATACACCAGTAAACCTAGAAATAGATAATAATCCAAAGGATATCAATGAAAGATAGAAATGTCCCACGATCGATAATGACCATACAAAAGAACCAAAGGAAAATCCAGACTGGCAGATAAATCGGATCACATGCTGTGAAAGTGACAGTCAAAGAATTAAACCAGCTCAAAACTGCTTGGACAGAACTTTGAAGAATAATTCTGACGCCCTCTAGCGGAGAAATAGCAAACGAGTTGAGACAATTGATTTGCTTAAATAATTCGTAAGAACCAATGGCAAAAGAACAACCGGCCTCTAACGGTTTCAATTCTTGCAACGAATTTCGAATTTGCGAACTATCGACGCCCTCTGTCGACTGAATGCCAATAGACAAATTTGAATTTGATGCTAAATCCAACAATGTATCCTGGACGGCACAAACGGCCCGAGCCTGGCATTAATTACCCATCTCGATTGAGTTAATCGAAGAAGTTAGAGCGTTGGCCTGGATGTTCCCCGATGTAACAAATAACTAATCAGATAAGACTTCTGATGATGAACAGTCCCGAGCCCAACAATCCAAGAAATTACAAGTATCGAAAAATCGGCTAATACGTTTAACAACATATTGCTCGTCAAAGTTACTCGGACGCGGTGCCTCAAAAGTTGTCAAACGTGATAGATAATCCACTATTCCCAATTTACATCCCGAAATATGAAAAATATCGAAATCAAAAGGTAATATCAGATCCGCCCATCTGGTCAAGCGTGATTGATGAGTCTTGTTACCCCTATTAGTCTTAAGAGCCGAGATAATCGCTTTAAGATCTGTAAGAACAACAAAATGATTACCCAAAAGATAATTGCGAAAATGCTCACAAGACCAGACAATTGCGAGAAGTTCTAACTCGTTTGTACTATACTTCTTTTCCTGGTCATTGAGGAAACGCGAATCAAATGCAATAGGAACCCAGGTGTCCAATTCTACTTCTTGGTCTAAAGCCGCTCCCGGACCACTATGACTTGTATCACAATTTACTCGGGATTTTCCGATTCTGGTCATAATGGAAAAATCTTTGTGATATTCGCTATCAATTGAAGAATATTCACAAAAGCAGATTGCTGCTCCTCCCCCCACACAAACTTGCTTTTATTACTCGCTTTCAGCTATGGGCGGAGTTGGTCCGAATAGACCTGAAGGTTCGGCAAGAATCGTTGTAAGTGGCTGAGAATGCCCATAAAAGACCGAAGTTGTTTTAACGATTTAGGGGTTTCAAGAGCTAATATAGCATCTATTTTAGAACATTTCGGCCTATATCCTTCCGAGTCAATATTATAACACAACCAAGACAGCTGATTCAACGAAAATTCGCATTTCGATAATTTAAGGGCGAATCCCTCCTTGTCCAATCTGGCGAATACTTTATCTACGAGAATATTGTGATCCACTACTGATCCTTCCGAAACTATGAGGATATCGTCCAAGAAACAGAAAACTCCCGACAAACCTTGAAGGGTATTTTCCATCGCTTTTTGGAACTCTTTAGGCATATCCGTAAGTCCATAAAAGCCAGTCTTAAACCGATACGTGCCAGTTTGTTCCCCACAAACTATATTAAAATTACACTGACTACTAACTCCATCACTGAGCGGAATCTGACTAAAGGCATATTTCAAATCCAACAACCTGAACCAAACATCGCCAACCTTGCTCGAAGTGATTATCTGGGCGGCTGAGTCCAACAATTCCAGTAAATTCGGCATCTGATATTGGTTGTTATGAATCTGATCATTCATGGGCTTTGCATCCGTAGCCAATTTGACTAAACCGTCTTTCCTTGCCGTAATTACTATCGGAGATATGAAATGCTCGCTTGTACATTTGTTGAGTTTAGCAATATGGCCTTCCTGAATCAATTTCCGAATTTCGATACCAATTTTATCTTGAATGTGCACTGGAACCCGCCTTCCTTTTTCTTGAATCAGAATGAGCGGTGACTTGAAAGTAGAGAAAATTTGATGATTTCTAGCTCTACCAATCTGAGAAAAGACATGTTGATACTTCTGTTGGAAATACAATTTCCAAAACTCCGAGGTTTCATTCACGTTTGACAGTGAAACTTCGCCCACCAAAGGCCTTTCTGGTTGAACTTGCGTAGTTCTCACCCCCAACTGAGACTGCAAATCTAACCCTAATAAACAGCGCGTATGATGTTCCGAAATAAGGAATTTTGCAGACTTCACATGCCATCCCACGGATGATACATCCACTATCAAAGTGCCCATTAGTTCAATTCTGTTCCTGTTATAATCCACATACACCGTGTCCATTGGACATTCCTTGTCACTCAGAACTTTTGCTGAAGGCGCTGACTTCACGATGTAATCCGCTGTCCTCTTATTTACAAAGGAAGCCGGACTACCGGAATCGACTGTAGCTTTGAAAAACGTTTTGCCGCAACGAAGTGTTATCTGAATACAACGTAATTCACCCGTAGCGGCATTGACAATTTCCAATTTTTTCACAGAATCTACAAAATTCTTAGTCTCCTCTGCGTCTATCGCCAGAACTGCAATTTCTAACTCACCATCAGACGTGATGAAGTTACAATTTTCCTCAGTTGTCTCGTCTGACTCGACTTCTACTTTCGCTACATTTTTAGAATTCCAACATTTGGCAAAATGTCCCTTCCTACTACAATTCCGACAAGTCACATTTCTAGCTGGACAACTTTGTTTATGTTTGGCAGAAAACATGTTTCCACAGAAATAACATAATTTTGCTTTCTCCATGTTGGCATTTCCTTTCGTTTTATTATTTTGGGCCCGATTAATTCTATCCGACCGTTTCTTCCCTTGCACAGAAAATGTCGGTTCCTGCTTATTACGTGTACTTTGAGCTGAATTGTACCCTTGATGGGAAGAACTGCCCGACACTGACGGACCCCCGAGCTGTATTTATAGATTAATAGCAGTTTGGGCCCCTTTCTCCTGCAATAACGATGACTTTAACGTTTCTTCGGGAGTGGTCCCCGGACGAATACAGAGTTCTTTTTGAATATTCTTATACCTCCTTTTTGCAATAAAGATATCTCTCACGACGTCTTACTCCTGATCAATCGTCCAACCACACAGGGCTGCTTGACCCGTAAGACACAAATAGAAAGCCTCCAAACTTTCTCGTTCAGCATGCACGGCATTATAAATTTGCAAACGTTCAATTATGTAGTTTTTCTCCTTTCTGAAGAGAAGAACACAAAATTCGAAAGATATTGCACTGAGGTCCGCATGCGGATAACTCTGAAGAAATCTTTTCCTTCCCTCTGAACCCAGAGAAAAGAAGAGACGAGATTTAACTCTCTGCTCGACTTCGTAGAAAGACACACCTGGTGCTACTATGGGGCCTTTAGCCCGGCGCTCCTCATTCATTTCTTCCACTCTACGAGCAGCCGCATCATTCCTTGCAATACGATTCACTATTGCCGCTGCGTCTTCGTCGATTCCCACGGCCTCTGGTTTTGGAGCTGGATCATCGTGTACAATTCCTGGCGGTTTTAGTAGTTCCCGAGGATCAAATTTTTCCTTAAATTGATGGCCAAATTGAATTGCCCTATCCACGAATCCCAACTACTGGGTGGATCGGCTGTTGGTTTGTGCCAGAAAATTGGAACACCCAATAGGTCAGTCCGGTCGTCTGATACCGGAACTGCTGGCTGCGCCATGTAATAACTCAAGTAACAAAGAACGCTAGTCAAGACTTAATTCATCTTGTTAAATAAGTAATAATTAAGTTGCACATAATGTCATGACAATAAATGTTGTCTACTTAAACCTTTCATAAGTTGACTAGAGAGTGATTGAATGATCTTGCTTAGAATTGCTTAGAATTAGACCGAGGATTGACAGGTCGATAGCGACCTTGAGAACCAACAGTAGATTAACGGCCCAGAATAGAATGACGTCTTAATACAACACATTTAAACAGCACCGCACCACAATCAGGCAGAAATGGCTGTCGCAAATTGATTGGCAAAAACTTGGAACCGGAATTGAGGAAGAGCTATTTTGTCGGTGCATACCATAAATTTTCATATTAGGGCTGAACCTTGAATTACCTTGACCCATCTTGAGTAGATGAAAGTTTTGAACCTAGTGAAAAATCTCCGACTAATTCAATTTGGGGAGGAAATTGTTCACTTGCTTAAAGCATTCTTTTTCAGCCAATCAGATTTGAGAAGGTGACATGCAGGCCTCACTGCTTGAATTTGCCATTTAATTTAGGGGGTGGGGAGAAGATTGAAGGTCCATTTAGGGAGGAGGATTGTTCACATGAGTCAATTTGCAGGAAAATATATTAAAAAACTTTTTGTATTTCATGTTTTGAAAAAAGTAATCATAAACGTAATGTCAAAATGATAGGCTTCGTGTCAGAAAATGGTAAACAATATTCAAACTCTTGATAGCATAGAAAAACTTTAAAGCCAAAAGGAAATGAAACTGTACTTCTATTGTTTGAAAGACAGTTATTCCAGAGTTTGACTGGATTTCTATCTGGTAGTTTCTATTGGGACCAGCAGTCCTTCAGGCAAGGTCTCATTGGGGAAATGGAGCAATGGCAGTCCAGAAGAACGACCCTCATAAAATACCATTACTTGATTCCAGACAAACTCCACAAACAAACAGGTAAATGCATTCAAGAATTCGAAGCTCAAGCAACTGTAACATAGCTATCGTGTTTTTGTTTTCTTCTGAGTTTTTTGCAAAACAGAGAACAAACTAATTTGATTTTATGAGAGCAATCAAAACTATTGAATGAGAGTTTAAAAAAAAACAGATAGCATTACAAGTACAAGTTTGATGCCTTTTCGAACATTTGCGTTGAAATTATAAAAGAAAACATTTGTAGGGTTTGTCGACCAAAAATGAATGTCGGAAATTTGTACGAAAGGGACGAAATTTGGACGAAATTGCTACGCATACAATTGGAATACTTGAAAAAACACAATCAATTAAATAACCGTCAAAAGTAAAACATACACATGAAAAAGTACAAAACTTCTATGATTAGTAAGTTTTCATATAAGAAACTGTATGATAAGAAATATTACATAAACCAATAAATCACTTGTTGTTTCTTATCATTTTTGGTTGTGCTCGTAAGGGGGGCGTTAGACAGTGCCGAAGTTAGAGAGTGCCGAAAAAGGCGGGAAATATTGGAACGCAATTTAAGAGGCTAGCTTTTGGCGGGAAAATTAATAATGACACTTGAAACTTGTTCAGACTCAATTTTGGCGCCAAAATCGATGAGCAAACAAAACTTTCTTTTCTTTTCTCAATTAGTTCACGACAAATAAGTCAGTTTCTTTCATTTTCGGCACTCTTTTCAAATTGTTCAGACTCAATTTTGGCGCCAAAATCGATGAGCAAACAAAACTTTCTTTTCTTTTCTCAATTAGTTCACGACAAATAAGTCAGTTTCTTTCATTTTCGGCACTCTTTAACAAATTTTTGTTTTCGGCACTCTCTTACTTCGGCACTGTCTTACCCAACCCTCGTAAGCCCTTTTGGTTGTGTGGCTGTGTTTTTATCATAATCATTGATTCGCTGACGCATTAAAAATCTCGCAGAGAACATGCATTAAGACAAGCTTAAAAGTTGTTAAATTATTAAAACAATATTTTGAAAAATACTAATTTTCAAATTTTCAGCTAAAACTTTGTAGGCATGATTTTTTTTTTCAAAATAAAATGTTCGGATCAATTTTCTCTTAGCTAACAAAATAATGAATGAATAACTAAGAAATAACTTTTTAGCGATTATTTTAAAAAATGACATAGAAAAAACAGGTTCCGGGTACTCGAGGGTCCAGGGCTACGACAATTATTAAATTCAATTTTCATTATGCGCCTTGAACTGGCGATAAATTTGTTTTGGACAAGTTTGAAATTTTTCTGTAAAATATTTTAGTGTCACCAAAAAAGGTTAGTCATACAACTTCCCTTCATGGAAATTGTATGACAAGTTGTTTTTACGAAATTTGTTTGTCCTAATTTTTATATCAATATACCGATATTCATGCCAAAACAACAGAAAGATAGATTTATAATTCAATTACCCTGATTGGATTGAAATTCAATTGTATGAAATTTAAATGACTAGTAACTTTCCATAAAGTAAAAGTATCGAATTGTATGATTAGCATTTTTGGTCTATAGAGGCCAACCTGGGATGATAATAATAATAACAAGACTGCTCGTATCAGGGCGAAACCCTGAATGTTCCGACTGCCTTTTAAGGTTTATGGAGCAGTAGAAACATTAAGAAATTCAATGAATTAAAACAAAATCAAAAAAAAATTTTTCTAAAATTTAATATTTTATGAAAATCATCCCCCACACGCCATACAAAGTTAAAAAGGATAGATTTCGATCCTTGCAACAAACCAATTATGGCACATAAGCTTCTTTTAAACAATTTGGAACGATTTCTAAGGCGGATTAACTCTCCGCTTACGCGTTAATAGCGCGAAATATATCGCGCGTTAATTGTCCCAAACTGGCCAAAATGGCAATCTTTTCAAATTTGAGCTCAGGACAACAATACCTTTTGAATGATGTAGAAAAAACTTGGTCAAAAATGGCTAGTTAAAAAGTCGAAATTTGTCTGAAGAAAAAAAAACCACTTCGAGCACAAATATTCCGTTACTTTCGTATCGAAAGTCGGAACAAAAAAGCAGCTTCAATTGTACTTAGACTTTCCAATTTGATCAATAGATATACTTTGTTCAAAACTCGAGTTATTCATTTATTCCGGATTCCTGCCAATTGATCACTTTAAAAATCATTCTGCTCATTACTACAAACTTTACTAGTTTAGAATAAAAACTTTTTGAAAGAAAGATATATCGAGCTAATGGTAAGTGGTTTTAGGAACTCCTACAAGTGCATTTTTCAATTGAGGGCTCTTTCATCAAAGCAAATCACCAAAATATCATTGAACAGAAAGTATGAATCCCTAAATTTATGCAAAAGTTATTCTAACTTAAATCTGGAAGATCGCCGTCTTCGAAAGTTGACATTCAACTTTTTTTGTTTAGAAGCCTTAATCGCAGACATGAGCAAGCTGATATTCGTCATACGAGACCCTCTCAAAAGCATGATAGCTGAGTTCAATCACAAGACATACAAAGACCATAAAATTGCATTCCAAAACTCGAAGGCATTCGAAAGCACAGCACGGCAAAAAGATAGATTCGAACGTCATTTTAACGAACAACTCATTCGGCTCCAAAGTTTTACTTTGGTTAGAAAAATAACACAACGACCAGTTTTGATTATCTCTTATGAAGATATGCTGGAAAATCTATTTCCACAAATTCTCAGAATTGCTAACTTCATTGAGCTTGGCGAAGATTTGACTGTTCTAGATCGATCAGTGTGTACAATTTTCAACGCTGAGGCTATGCGCAAAACTGATAAGCGCAAATATTCGGAAGATTTCACGCCGACAGCCGCCAATTTAGTTAACAGAAAATGGGCGACAGCTGTTTTGAAGACAATTAGCGAAAATTTTTTAAACTACAAACTTCACAAAATGCGACTTGACGATTATATTGAATCATTGAGCCGCGTGACAAAAGAATAGAACTGCTTTTCTTCTAAACAGAAAAGTTTTGATATTCATTTCATACTTTCACAGTAGAATTTTTCATGTCTCGTCTCTGCAAAAGGAAACGAAACTTTTTGGTATTCGAAGGGTTAAATTTCACTGCAAAGCTAACTTTCACAAACAAGAATTACTGCGCGCAAAATTAAAAAATGTAAAGTCTGTTTTGTTTCGTGCTAATAAAACAATTTTAAAGGTGTCATCTTGAACAAACCAGTCGAATGTAACATCAAGGAACCAAATTCAATAAGTTTTAGCTTGACAACGGTCTTCATTGCGAAAATACCAGGTCGAGGTCCCCAAATCATGCGACAAATTTTTGGCATGTCCAGATTTTCGCCATCAAATTTTGGCGTTTCCAGACTTGCCGGTCACAATGACTAAAAGGATCACTACGAGGCCAAATTTTGCACTGGATAGGCGCATAATTCGGCGTCTGTAGGTCACAGGAATACCAAGTATTTAAACAAGTTTCAAGAGTTCAGTAGATTCGGTGTACAAATTAATGTAACATAAAAATTGGCGGCACATTGGTTTGTGGTTTCCACGACCAGGAAAAAATATCTATTTATGGGTGAAATTATTTCGTGCGTAAACAATTAATAGCGGAATTTGAAAGCAAAGATCTAGCCCATCTCAGTGGAATCCACAAACAATTTTAAAATAATCGTTCAATCTAAAATCGTGGATGTAGACCTATTTATTTCTCCCATAAAGCTTCACTTTCCAGCAAGCTGGATAAACTTCTATGCAAGCTTCCTCCAATATCTTTAAACCCGTATAGATTTTATTCACGTGACCGATATCCTGAAGCTCATTATAGATACTAATCAATTCATCCGATAGCCTGAAACTTGCTATAGACATCCAGCAGCTATTTTGTAGCTTTCATCCGAAATTATGAAATTTACACTTCAGTTCAACCTGTTGCATCTGATCCTGAAAATTGTCATTTTAACAGGATCAATTATTTTGCGTCCTGGAGAAAAAATCATGTATAAACTGTTGACCGGTATATTTAACGGTAAAAATGGATTTAACGTAAAATTGTAACTAAATTTGTTGCAGGACCGCAATCAAAAATTAGATTCCAATAACAAATTGCGGGTTCAATTATAGTTTGCGGGCTTTTCTGACTGTTGCAGTTTTTGCGGTAGCGCAAATTCACTTCACACATGTATTGTTATTTGCTTGTGGATCCCACAAATTGTTCCCGATTACGCAAAAAAGAATGCTTTTTGAGCTGTAAAGTGTTTTAGCGAATTATTCGTGGAATCCAAAACGGTAACAAATATCAAGGAATTCTACATTAATTGCGATAATATCGGTTGCGGAATCCTCTTCCAAATTACAAATTGCTCAGTTTGGCCTCATAATGATTGTACCAGTCGGTCATGATGCAGGAATTTGTTTTCGTAATCACTATATAAAAAAATTAGGGTTGCCGCTAGAGGACAACGAGAGTTGTTCGAGAAGCTGTCCTCCGGGTGGATCCAGGAAAAGTCAGACATTTTTTAACTAGGGTGCATTTTGACTGCTGAAACCTTCCCAGTCAATTGACTTTGTGGTCCAGAAGAAATTCTTTCAAACATTAAAACTTCCTGAGCTACAGTTATTGTTCCGACTTTCGATACGAAAGTAACGGAATATTTGTGCTCGGGGTGGGTTTTTTTTTCTTCAGACAAATTTCGACTTTTTAACTAGCCATTTTTGACGGAATTTTTAATATCATTCGAAAGGTATTGTTGTCTTGAGCTCAAATTTGAAAAGATTTTCCACCTGTGATCATTTTTCGTAAAGTCATGGGGTTTTAAAGATTGCCATTTTGGCCAATTTGGGACAATTAATGCGCGATATATTTCGCGCTATTAAGGCGTAAGCGAGATTTAATCCGTCTTAGAAATCGTTCCAAATTGGTTTAACGAAGCTTGTTTGCCATAATTGATTTGTTACAAGCAGCGAAATCTATCCTTTTGTACTTTATATGGCGTGTGGGTGGATGAATTTCATAAAAAATTTCAAATTTTAGAGAAAAAAAATTTTCATTTTGTTTTATTTTTAAAATTTTTTTAATGTTATTACTGCTCCATAAACCTTAATAGCCAGTCAGAACATTCAGGGCTTCGCCCTGATACGAGAAGTCTTGTTAATTTTAGTCTTAAGCGAATTTTATACTGAAACAAGACTGCTCGTATCAGGGCGAAGCCCTGAAAGTTCCGACTGCCTTTTAACATTTATGGAGCAGTAATAACAAAAAAAACATAAAAATAATAAATGAAATAAAATAAAATGAAAATTTTTTTTGCTAAAATTTGATTTTTTTTGATGAAAATTATTCCCCCACACGCCATATAAAGTACAAAACAAGAGATTTCGCTCCTTGTAACAAATCAATTATGGCAAATAAGCTTCTTTTAACCAATTTGGAACGATTTCTAAGACGGATTAAATCTCCGCTTACGCGTTAATAGCGCAAATTGTATCGCGCGTTAATTGTCCCAAATTGGTCAAAAAAATAAGCTTCTTTTAACCAATTTGGAACGATTTCTAAGACGGATTAAATCTCCGCTTACGCGTTAATAGCGCGAATTATATCGCGCGTTAATTGTCCCAAATTGGTCAAAAAAATAAGCTTCTTTTAACCAATTTGGAACGATTTCTAAAACGGATTAAATCTCCGCTTACGCGTTAATAGCGCGAATTATATCGCGCGTTAATTGTCCGAAATTGGTCAAAATGGCTATCTTTAAACCCTCATAACTTCACGAAAAATGATCACAGGTGAAATATCTTTTCAAATTTAGGCTCAGGACAACAATAGCTTTCGAATGATATAAAAAAATTCCGTCAAAAGTGGCTAGTTAAAAAGTCGAAATTTGTCTGAAAAAAAAACACCCACCCCGAGCACAAATATTCCGTTACTTTCGTATCGAAAGTCGGAACAATAACTTCTGAAATTATATTTCTTGAGCTCCCGACTTTGAGAAATTGATTACCCTTGCGATCGCTTGGGTAATAAGTTCGAGTACCAGGTTTTTTCCCGTAAACGTTTGAATCACAGGACTCATCTCTACGTCATGACTCATTTCTACTTTTTTTCATTATGTATTCTAATTTACCTTAGAGTTAACCAATATGCCTGAGACGGCAAAACTGCTGGGTTCGAATCTGACCAGGACTTGCTTGTTGATTTTACGCCTCGAAATTCTAATTTATTTACCTTGACTTTGTATGTCATTCTCATTTTTTTTGTTTCGCAAATTTCAAGCTCGCTCTGTTGAATTTTCAATTTTTCTTTTTGTAAAAATCTCATGATATTCAAACAAAGGGTATCAATTGAAAAAACACGCATACCGCTTTGCCTTACCTGCAAACTCCATCGAATCTTTTTTGACTTGACACATCTGTCTACGGCCTTCAAAAAATTTCGGGGGTTTTTGACCCATATTTTGACTTTTTTCTTGAAAACTACCACACTCAATTATGAGTTTTTGGTTTCATTGAATAGAACTGTTTTGAAAAAATTTCATCGCATAGATGGCTACGCCCAAATTTTTAACAGATAAAAATATGGACCTCAAAAAAGTCAAATTTTTGATTTTTTTTTCTTTTTTATGAATTTTTTCAGTTTTTCTCGAAAAAATCTTCATTGTGATATTGCGGTGTCAGTGAAGATAATGGGTAGTGGGAAGTTCTTCTGCATTAGCTAACCCTACCAAAAATTTAATGTTTTTCTAATATTCTCGAAAACTACCCTGCAATATCTGAGATTCTTGGTCCAATTCTTGGTCCCTCCCGAACGGGTGGGGGGAAACTGGCTAATTTTCTAGTGTATATTTTGACTCCAAAAGTTTTGGCCCTAGGAAAAGCTTAAAACTTTGATTTTTTGATATCTTGAAAGCTAACTATAAGATTTTTAGATAATTGGTACATATAGATTGCGTGAATCCTTCTTCATCAGCGGCTACGCTAAATTTTTCCCAACTCTCGGAAATGCATAATTTTTGTTTGCTTACCAAGTTATAGATTTTCTCGCTAATTATCATGCAAAAACTCATATCATAGATTTAATCAAAATGACAGGTTGTTGAAAGCCTAAAGTTCTAATTAGCTGTGCCCAGTTTGTGTTAAAAAAATTATGGCCTTCAAAAAAGTCGGCAAGGCTTCAAATGTTGACAGCTTTTTGAAACGTTATTTGAATTTACGTGAAAAATAACCGGGTTATTTCTCAGGCCGAATTCAAGCGCGATCCGTTTTTGGCATTTTTTTTCTGCAAAAGCGGCGATAACCCGCTTTTTGCGGAGTTTTTTTGGATTTTTAAAAAACCTTTTGACCGTTTGTTACATTACGAGGCCAAACTGTGCACTGGATAGGAGCACAACTTTGTGTCTGTATGTTCCTGGATTCCAGAGACAAGTCTTTAAACCTATTTAAATTTTGTCGGAACGATCAAAGAAAATGAAAGAACAAAAGAAGAACAAAGGGAGCGTCCTTGTCGGGGAATCCGCTTACAATGCACATAATGCACAGTTTGGCCTCGTAATGTAGAGTAGATTTTTGACCAATTTTCAGCAATTTTTTGAATTTTGTATGAATTTAAAAATAAAATCTGAGATGAAAGTTCATTTGAAATGCTTGCAGTGATTGATTCCGAAGTGGTGACGTATTCTCAAATTTTCAATTGAGAATTATTAACTCTTTGAGAAAAATTATTATCTAAATTTTTTTTTTGCTGCTCTCACTAATGCAGACCGCAAAAGGTCATTGGTTCCAGCCTTTCCGCCACTGTCTATCATCTAAATTGTCCGTCTGTCCGTTATGGTTTGAGCGCGTCTTTCCATCATAGCATCCAACCTGCTGTCAAGAGTCCTGAAAGCCTGCTCTTGTTGACTCCGGAAATACTCCATTATTTCCCCCAGTCTTTGCTCCCTCCCTTAAATTTTACAAATCATTCGCCATAAGTCCTTAGCAAGGTAATCATTTGACCTCTCCATCATGCGTTTTTCGTCCTGACTGATCTCTTGCTTGGTCCGAAGCTTTTCTTCCCGCAATTTCTTGCGCTCCACGTGAACTGTTTTTTTCCAGTTTGCTCATCCT